ATAAAAAATAAAAAAGAGTAGAGATACGAAAAACAAAGCATGAACAAACGGAAGAAGAAGAAAGAAAGAAGAAAGATAGAAAATGAAAAAGAAAAAGGGGGATGAGAAAAATGAGTGTATTAAAAATTTGAAAAGTTAAAAGGGTAGGAAAAACGTTAAAAGCCATTGTCCCTTTCGCAAGGGATACTACTAGGTTGTATTGTATAATCTTCTTTAACGCACCCAACGGAGTAGTTGTACTTTTTTTTTTTTTTCTTTTTTCTTCTTCGTCGCTTCCTAAGCGACTCGAAGAGTATGGGCATAGTAGTGTCATGTGCTATTTCTACATTGAACGACAACTACGACGACAAGGAAAAGGATAAGGATGGGAAGAAGGGTAAAAGCTCTCGGCGAAAATTTAAACGTTCCCGAGAAACTCGTTAAACTAATAAGAATCCGGGGCGTTTAAGCCACCGGGGCCAGTTTGTTCTACGAACGAAGAATAATTACCCTACCTACCTTTCTACCTATCTACCTACCTACCTACCTACCTACCTACCTGGGTTCTCGCGACAAGACAAAACAAAACAACCAACAGCTTTTCTCTTCCGCTCTAATTATGCAACAATTACTTCGGCTAATTAGACGACGATGCGTTCAACGTTTTTCGCGGTGGGACATTTTATTATTTGGAAAAAAAACAGGAAGAAGAAGAAAAAAGAAGTAGAAAAAAAATTACAGCTACCTACCACCACCACCGCGCTGTACTTTTTCTTTCTTTCATTTTTTTTTTTTTCTTTTTTCTTTCTTTTTTCTATTTCTTTACCTTTCTCTCATCCTAACTCACACCCTCACCACTCTCTGACACTCACCCTCGCTCTCCTCTTTTTTTTTTTTTTTTTTTTTTCTGTACTCGTTGAAATTTGTTTCACATTTATCGTCTTTTATTGTATCACGACATGCGGGTTCATTAACGATATGATTGCACATCGTAAACACCTATACAACTTTATATATATGTATAATGAACAAATATTTTCTTATCATTTGCACACACGCGCGTATATACGTAGAGATAGATTTTTATTATACGCGTATGGAGAAATATGGAAATAAAGTAGGATGCTTGTTGATTTTTATTTTTCCGCCCTTCGGTTCGATGATATAAAATAAATATAAGTTTATCGATTCTTTTTTTTTTCTTTAACGATAAAAATAAATTCGAGGAGACAAACATATCGATCTGTTTTTTTTAATTCACGCATACGATGATAAAATATATACTTTAGTTTAATAATAATTGAACTAAAGTATATTTAAAGTATATTTAGTGTATATATATAACTTAGAATTATTTTTCAAGAATATATTTTTTTTTAAATTTTATTAATATATTAATTGTCGCATACAACAATCGTGAATTCAAAAATTATTGCAATTTTTACAAATAATTTATACTAATTGTATCTTTTTTTTTGGTCGTGACTCAACAAATTTAAATATATAAATATAAAAAATATGATAGTAAACAAATTATTTTTCTGCTTAACAATTTCGTTCGATTTTCATATTTGGTTAGCGATGTTCTAGGAAATTTGCATAGCATTAGTTAAAATAAAAATTAAAAGTTCTATATATATATATATATATATATAGATAGATAGATAGATAGATAGGTAGTATAATATAGTAGGTTCGCGAATCTCCGACTATCCGATTAACTAATGCCCTAACAAGTACACTGAAAGCAATCTCGCTCGAGGCAATGCATTTTATTCCGATATCGAGTTAGAATCAACGCAGTTATTGCACACCACTTCCAACGGAATGTATTTAATTATTATTGGATTTACCGTTTACGCCCTATGTGAGATAAATTTAGTAAAAGGATTAGAAATATATATATCAAGTTAATTGGTCTGCACAGTAGTAGCATTTTGTTAATAATAAATAATTATAATCTCCTGAATTATCTTTGATCGATCTCGTACGTCTACCACTCCCCTCCCCCATTATGTGGCGGCGGAGGGGTGTTATATTCCGTCACATATTATTTTGCAATGGGAAAATGATATTACTCGATTTTAAATCAATATGCGTATTTCGATTTCTATAATATCTCACATAAATAATGAAAAATAATACATAATATAATATTATCATAATTTTGAATATCAAATACACATCACGCGCGACGAAGCATCATCGAAAAACGTGATTTCATTGTGAAAATAAAATCATCGATTACACGAATAATTACGTTCGCATAATATGAGAATAATTATTATTTTTCTTTTGTAAATTTATAATATAAATACGTGATCGTAATTATTATTACTATTATTATTATTATTATTATTTTGTACAGATATATCACGCGAAGTGGACACGAAAATAATTTGAAAACTTTTACGCATGCATACATGTATTTATTGCATATATATATATAGGGTGAGGCAGACGTTGTGTACCATAGGGATTATAGGCGGTGTCTCAAACACATTACTTAATTGCTAATCTCGTAATTCAATTTGTTGCACGACTTTTTTGCCCCACCCTTTATATAATATATATTTTATCCTTTTTTTTACTTCTCTTAATCAAAAAAAAAAAAAAAAAACGAATGAAATAGCATTCAGAAAAAAAAAATACGTCATTTAATCGGAAAACAAAAATCATTAATTACACGATCAATATCATTCGTTGTGTATCGATTAAAAAAAAAAAAACAATGAAAATACAAACATCCGTGTATCGCGTCATTATTATTATTATCATCATCATCATCATCATAATCATTATCTACGTCGTCGTCGTCGTCGTCGTCGTCATAATTATTATTTTTGTGCAGAAATATCACGCGGAGTATACTCGAAAATAAATTGAAAATCCGTGCACATACACACTTATATATTAGACACACACATCCATACATATATATAATATATAATGTATGTATATAAGTAAGGAATATTTTGTTCTCTCTTTATACATACGATCCCTGCATTATAGAATGCCATGTGGGCATATATAATACATATGATGGGTGGGTGAGTGATTGTGGGTGGATAGAACGGTGGGGGGGGGAGGTATATGCGTATTATGTAGAAATTTGTGTTGTCCTCTTTTTTTCTTCTTCTACTATTTTTCTCATGTCAGTATGAATGCATTTACACATACGTATGTAGGATACGTATTATTATTGAGCGTTTTGCAGGCACGTGTATAATATATGGGCCGTTTATACACGCGTCATACGTACAGATGATGGTCGTCGTTGTTCTCGTCATAGTAGTAGTAGTAGTAGTGTAGTATAGTTTAGTATAGTATAGTATAGTGAAAGCGACGGAAGTCGAGTGCTCTCTGAACATCATTGAAAGTGCTCGAGGCAATCGCAATCTGGCCGACCCTTGTGCGTCTATTTCGGTCAATTTAACGCCATCGGGTGGACAATTGAAACGACGAGACGGTGTCGGTGGTGGTTAAAAAGAATGCGAGATGATCAACCGGTAGGGCTATCGTTTATTACGTGCCCCTTTTCAAAGAATTCCTCTTATCATTTCACTTTCTTTTCACTCATTCATTCATTCATTTATTCATTTACTTCTCATATTCAATCGTTCACTAACTCGCTCACTCTTTTTCTGTCATTCTTTGTTTTTTTTTGTTTTTTTTTTTTCATCTATACCCTGCATCGAGAAATCACACAAGTTTTTTCGTATACGAAATAGAAAAATTTAACGAATTTATTTGTTTTTTTTTTGTTTTTTTTTTTTAACTTGTTCCTATATTAAAATTTTCTACTTACTTTTCTTTTTGGTTAAATATTAATCTTATGATGCGGCGTGTTATATGTTTTAAACGCGTTGAAGTAGTGGTAAATTTGATTAATATTGTCGGGACAAGTGAAATTATTTTTCATAAGATTTTGTAATTTTTAATATATGGAAAAAATATTGTTATTATTTATTTATTTAGAAATTAAATACTTACAGTAGTGTTATAGTAAATGAAATACTCTTGTAGTGCTATCTGTTATAATTTTATGCACGACATGTTTGTGGTAACAAAAAAGATATTATTATAAACTTTTATTTATTTGTTTGATATAAAAACAGTGTTTTATTACTTTCAATGTAAATTACAAACAAATTCGTACATTACTCATTGGTTGTTCCAATGAAGAAATATGAAATATGGTTGAGCGTAGAAAACTTTTAGTATGATATTCAAACTTTGTCGAGTTACAAACGATATTTAATGACAGTATTCATCATACCATAAATTTTTGATTTATTTCCTTTACGAAAGGTAATTTATGTATCACGTACATTGAATACAAATATACACTTTTATATGATATAACACAGATAAAGTAATGATAACAAAAAAATAGGTCGTATATTTTTTGTATTATTTTTTTTTTTCCCCTAAAGGATCACGTAATATATCTCGGTGTGGAAATACGTAATTAAAAGTATTTAATTAATTTTATTAACGAATATTCTCTATACAAGATGAGTAAGTACGTTTCAAAATAGAAATACTCATTAAGCTGGTGAAAACTGTTTCGTTGAAAAGAAACCTTCGAATTTTGTCATTAAAATTTGATCCAATTGTAAGATTCAAATGAATAAAAAAATAATCTCACAATAATTTATAATAAATATCTAATATTATATGTAGCATATATACTTAATATACTTTATATTAAATATTATCATTATACATATTACATATTTTAAATTATATTC